AAAAAAAAAAAAAAAAGAATAGGGTAAGGTTGAAAGTTTAGGAGAATAAGGGAAAGATTGTCCAGGAAGGATCTGAAAGGCTATAGAAAAGAGCAGAGTAAAGGAAGGGATGCTCGTCTTATAAGACAAGGTGAAATTTAGGAACATGCAGTTCAGTGAACAAAGTTTGTGGGTTGGGTGGGAATAGAGGGCAGAGGCTCTTCTCTGAGGACATTGTTTCATCTTTAGCCCTCTTGAGTGATAGCTATTCATTTTCTTACATCCCCAGGTAACTCAGAGCCCCATTACTAGTTCTAGATCATTATTTCTCCTCGTTCTTATAAAGCAAATCAAAACAAAACACACCCTGATTCTTTGACTCTCATGGCATCTGCTAAATCACCAGGCTCTCCCTGTCCTATTGCTGTCCTCTCCAAAATCCCTTTCTTCATTGATGACTTGGCCCTGTTACACTGTTTTGCACTCCATATCAAGCCCAACCATTAGTGTCCACACGGCCAACTCTGTCCAACATCATGGACTTTCCTCGTCTTTGGTGACCTCTTCCTCTACTGCACTTCAGTTATTCAATCCCATAATCACACCTTGGACATTGCTATTGTGCATAACTTTTCTGCTTCCTAAAGCATCAATGACAACAACCCATTCTCTGACCACAACCTCCTTCGCTTCCACCTTGTTAATTCAACCACGCCCACTACAATCTTTCATCCTCATTGGGACTTCCACCTCAACTTTCAATCCATCAGCCCTCTCTTGTTTTTTCTTTCCATTTCCTTCCATTTTGAAGTCTATTGTTTCAATAATACTCTATAGCAGTCTCCTAGAGCTGGCTGCCATCACAAAATACTACAGCATGGGTTGCTTTAAAGAAAAGATATCTACTTTGGTACAGTCCTGAAGGCTAGAAGCCTGAAGTCGGGATGCTAGAGGGCTATTCTCTTTCTCTTTCTCTCTCTTTCTCTGTCTCTCTCTCTTGCTCTCTCTCTGTGGGCTCTAGGGAAAGATCCTTCCCTGTCTCTTTCAGTTTCTGGTAATTCCAGGCATTTCTTGGCATCCCTTGGCTTGCAGACTGGTCCTCACATGCTGTCTCCCCACTGCATATGACTGTTTACTTGTTTGTCCTTCTCTTTTATAAGACACCAATCAAAAGGGTTTAGGATTAGGATACACCCTATTCTGGTATGACTTCATAAACTGGTAACATCTGCAAAGAAAAAACCTATACGATAAAACGTGGGAAAGCTGGAGCCTGTGTAAGACGGAAACGGGTCAGAGAATGAAAACTCAAGTATTTTCCACTAAAACGAGTGATAGAAAAGTGATAAGACTGCACCCTGTCAAAGGCGGAAAACTTTCAAGACCCAGAAAAACAAGGCAGTCCTGTCGAGTTCCAGCTCTCACAGGCTTCAAGGTACAAAGGTACATTTACCAAGGCAGGGGTTAGGACTTCAACATATCTTTTGGGGGGCACAATTCAATCTTTAACACACTCTTGCCCCTCTGGGATTTGGTCCCCCATCTGGCAAGTGCCCAACTACCTGCTTTTCCTGTGTCTACACTTGAGTAGCCCAGTACTGGTGAAGAAAGTTACACAACAGGGTAGATTGATCAAATTCCAACACTACCTGGGAATCTATCTTTCTCTGGTCAACCAATGCTTCCACTCTAACAACTATTTCAGACATTTTCTAGTTAGCTCCCTCCTCTGACTTCCTTTCCTTAATAATCATTAGATGAGTTTGTTTCCTCCTTTACAGAGAAATTAGAAGCCATCAGACAAGAACTCCCTCTATTCCCAATTCCAAAGATATAAACGAATTATCATCTATACTTGTCCTATCTACTTTCCATCCTGTTACAATAAACTCAAAACCAAGAACCAAACCCACTGCCGTCGAGTTGATTCTGACTCAGAGCGACACCATAGGGCTTCCAAGGGACTGCTACATCTTCCTTCTGTGCAGCTGGTGGTGATTTCAAATCACCGACATTTTGGTTAGCAGTCGATGGCTTTAACCACTGTGCCAATTGCTGTGGAGTCAATTCTGACTTATAGGGTCACTATAGGTCGGTTTCGACTCCACAGTAATGGGTTTTTGTTGTTGTTACAATAAAGGATATATTATTCCTCCTCTTAAATATAATTGTTCCACTTGTCCTATGAACCCTATTCCTTCCCACTTTCTAAGGAGACTTAAAAATCAATTATTCCTTCTCTCTTCTGTATATTCAATTTCCCTCTGAGCTAGATCTTTCCAATAGGCTATTAATTACCTTCAAATTTCCCATTTAAACAAATAAATAAATAAACCTCAACCCCCTACATACCCCACCAGCTTGTATGCCTATCTGTCTCTTCCTTTGCAGGACACAATTTCTCAGAAGGCTTGTCTACACTCATAGTCTCCATTTCTCTATGGTTCATCCCTCTGTCCTCCGTTTTTCCAGTCTACTTTCTCTCCCATCACTCCATCAATTAGTTCTCATTAGAATAGCTTTGGCCTACACTAAATCTTACATATTTTTCAGTTCTCATCTTATTTCATCTTTCAGCAGTGTTGACGCTTTCTTTAGCTGCTCTAGCCCTAAACTTTTATAGACACTCTTTCTCTCTCTTTGTTAAAGAGA